TTCACTGGTCAGCTAAGAAAAGTATTTCAGTGCACATTCAATCACACCATCTTAGCCGGGAAAATGAACTGATTTATGAAGTGCTCTGTTGAAGGCACATTTTAGATATTTTAAAGTTTGGTTGTTAGATAAACGTATCTATAGTCACCCACAGCTTGAAAAAGGTCTGAGTGAATGTACTGCTGTGGATGGGGCAGCAACAAAGAATATTCTAACCACCGAAAAGAAGGCCCTCTCTGTCGCCCCGGTCTGTTATTAGTAGCAGACGAATCACTTTATGGCATTCATATTTAGTTATTATCTGCATAATAATACAATTTAGGACTGCTTGTTAGTTATGTAACCGTGATAAAGCATATAGGGAGAAAAGCATTGGTCTTTACACTTAAGGCTGTACTCTGTTTAACTTTGGCAAACACATTGCAGAGGGACTGCTGATGTAAACTAGCTCTAAGCTAACTAGCTCTAAACTAACTCTGGTAAAATGCATTTAAATGGCAACATTTATGTTTAATATTGTACATGGTCCCTATACAAATGAAAATAAAAAAATATCTAAAATTGAAACATTTATTCCAATGAATTCTTCCAGTAAGTACTCATTTGAGGGACCATGTTGTCAAAGTAAACTTCTGGTGTAACTTGCTTGTTCTTTGATCTACAGGTCGGCATCACTTTGTTCACAGTGTCTCACAGAAAATCTCTGTGGAAGCACCATGAGGTAAGGACTGACTGAAAATCTTCACATTAACACAAGTCACTTATTTCCATGCAGTTTGTTATTTTTATCACCAATGACGCCTTCACTGAGAAGGTTTTGCTTTTTGTCAAAAATGCAGATTTTTTTTCTGTTGTTAACATAGCAATACGGGATAAGGGCTAAAAAAGGCTGCAGGTTTAAAAATCCTAGGCTTACTTCAAAATAAAAATCAGTCAGCTTCGTCTCTCAAAAGGCTTGAAACCAAGTATTCTATGCAGGTGTCAGGGATCATGTCTGAAGTCACAAGGAAGGGATTGAAAACCTTACAGTCATGTTAAAGAAACGAGTTCAACACATGAAAAGTTTTTATAAAATAAAAAAAGAGAGAGACGTTATACCTTTAAATACGTTACATTTGATTAATTGTGGTTGATTATCACAGTCAGTCCAGTAAGTTACTGAAATAGTTGGACATTTAATGACTTATAAACTGTGAGACTGTTGGTCAGCTCTCTGTTTAAGATAGGACAGCGTTCACTCTAGTTGAAGGGGATGATTTACTTTAAGACAGCAGAACAATGTACTTTCTGTTTCTTCTCTGGATGCTGTAAACGTTGGCCGAACCATTATTTAAAATGCATCTATTTACTTAATTTTAGTTTTTTTTATAATGTGATTTAATATTTCACGTTTATACACATGCAGACACACTGAAAAGTTGTCACTTTCTCATGAAGTAAATCTGTCCTTCTGATGTCTTTCTCACTATCTGTTTGTTTTGATGTCTTTCATGAAGTATTATCTCCATATGGACGGGAGAGGGAACTACGAGTTCAAACCCATCACGGATGAAACTGTGGAGTTCGGCTCATAACTCACTACTGACATAAGCAAACACACTTTGCTCTGATGAAACTAGTCCATTAATTCTTTGCACTTAAGTCAGAACTCATAGCTAAAAAAAAAAAACTAGAACATAATGTTTTTAATCATTTGTGAATCTCATTCATGTTTCCTTTTTTTTTTTTTTCACTTTGATGTCCATTAATTTGTTGAGTGTTAATTTACAAACCTTCTAATCGACCTTATGTTTAGGTTTTGTTCATAGATTCAAAAGATGTTTGAGCCGAGGAGAAAGTACCCTAAACTGTTTTGATCATCCTTAACATGCATAACTGGCTTACAGCAGCCACAGAGGTTAAACATAATGTGGAATACATGATGTAATACCCAAAGTATGCATGCACCATGTTATTTTCCTATATGCTCACTGACACGAGTGATGGCTGCCTGATAGGTTGTAATTTAAGTTACACTTTCTACAGCTGACAGACACTGAGAGCAGCGGAGGCTGGAGATCACAAACAGTTTTACAGTTACAAGATTAAGACTTGATTCATGTTAAGGAGTACAATTTGACTTCTTTATAGTCATCCAACAGAAACATGATTGCAGACCGTCTTTTTTCTTGACGACATAAATGTGCCACATCAGAATCATTTTACCAAAACAAGGTTGAAATAATTTAAATCTGTTTTATGATCACTGGCATTAAATAAAAAACTAAAAAGACTAAAATGAGAAACGGCAGTTATCTCCGTATAATGACATTAAAACACAGACCTAAATGTAACAGTAACAGCTGCTCTCTGTCGTCTCACTGGGATACCGCCATGCCTTAATTATTGGTCATGCTTCAGTACACACCCCGGTCTTGGAGGGCTGCCAGAAAGAACAGGGACATATATCAGAAACATTTCTTCACATATACAGGTCGATGAAGCATCATGGGCTGAAGTCTGTAAAAGGAACAGTCAGATAAAGTTCCCAGAATTTAAATTTGCTTTTGTGGCATCTTATGAATGAATTCTCTGTGCCAGTCTCTGATCTGACCAGGTACTACTCTACAAAGTTATTAACGTAATGATAACTGAACATTTAATCATAATGATTATTCAAAGCTAGACAGCTACGAAAAGAAGATCAGTTTTGTTTTCATTTCCAACAGTTAATTTAGTTTTCTTGATATGAGTTTTTGTCTTTTCTCCACTGAAGTGTTGTGTTGGATCAAAAATGGGGAAGGAAATTAAATTTGCTTCCAGTTGTACATTTAAAGGCAGGGTTGGTAAGTTTTGAAAACTAGCATGATTTTGAAAGGAGCATTCCCTCAGTGCTCCGTCTACACCCCTTCCCCTCTGTGCTCCCTCAAAAGCCACGCCCCCTCACTTACACGCACAAGCGCCACTTCAGCTCATGCTTTGATTGTGGGCTCGTTCATGCATGGGGTAGAGAACGAGCAGGGAGACAGGGAGGCGTCTGATTGGTTCATCAGATTGGTACCTCGTGGCAGACATTGGTCAAAGTTTTTACAGGCTTACAACTTCTACAGATGACAGATTTTCTTTGTTCCTTTTTCAGAGAACATGAGTTAATAATGTCTGTCAGGACCTAAAGACAATGTCAACCAAAATCTTAAAAAGTGTATCTGGAGAAAATTACCAACCCTGCCTTTAAGCTCCAGTTGGTTGCTTGTGTCTATCCATGTATAAGATCACAGTTAAATCAGCTTCATCGGACTACATTAACCATCTTGTTGATCATGCTGCCTGACATTTGAGGACACGGGACTCATGTTAAACAGCAGTTGAGTTAGTATATATCTGACATTCTTGGTGGTGGAATAGAAAGTTCTTGAGTTATGGATAATTATATTCATACAGAATTTAACATTACCTCTAGGGATTGGATCTCAAGTGAATTGATGCAGTTTGTCTGGTGATCACTGGTACCGTACCTGAACATGCAGACAAGTTCCTCCCCCAGCCACTCTGCTGTTTATGTTACCATCATTATGTTCTGTCTTTCTAATACACTTTAACTTAACTTTAAGAAGGAGAAATTCTCGTCTATTCACACGTTTTTTTTTTTTTTTGTGTATATAAATGATGTAATAATTTCACTCTGCATTTCCAAATATAAACTGAAGGTTTAATTCATTCTTTTTGTGTATCTGTGTGTCTTTAAGGGAGGTGGGGGGGAGTTAGAGCAGGTAACTGAGCAAATGATCAACTGAGGTATTGTTATCAACATGAGGCTTGCATACAGATGCAGGAAAAAAATGTTTAAACTGCTGAAAAACGAGAGGTCCGCACACTGTCAGAAAATATGCCAACTTGCCTGGACCTTTGTGTTATCAACATAACTGTAACTGCTACTTATTACTGTATTATAACTCTAACTTTGATTCAGAAAAGGGAAAAAAACAAAAGTGCAGAGTGAAAAAAAGCGAAGGAAACTGGCAAGTTTTAGTAGACGGCAACAGATTTGAAAAAAAAATACACATACAACCTTTAGGCCTACCTGTTGTTATACAGATGGGTCAAAAGAAGCTATGGAAATACTGGATTTGTTTTTGTCATCCAAGAATTAAACACAAGTTATAAAGAAAGAACACCAGATCATTTAGCTCTCAGAATTGGTGTTGCAGTGGATAGACAAATAAATCGGGTAAAGTTATATGTTCAGATTCATTATCTTCATTGGTATCATTACAGTCTATGTCGTTACAAAGCAGGTTGTGCTTTATCTATGAATGCATGAGTCCATTTTTAGATTTCAGAAATGACAAACAGTAGTCAGATTAATGTGGGTACCAGCTCACAGGGGGATAGAGGGCAATGATATGGCTTACTTAATAAGCCTTAAGGAGAAAAAAAACAATCATGGTTACTTTCAGTAGAGCTGAGACTAAAGCAGTAGTCCGAAGCGAAATCATGCCTGCCTGGCAAAAGATTTGAGATGAAGAGTGAAAAAGGACGTTGTCTTTGTCAAATTCAACATAAAGTGGGAGGAATGAAAACATTAGGAACAAACAATCATGAATAGGACACACGGGGTTGAATAAAACAATGCACCTAATAGGAAGACATCAGTCAGGTTTATGTGATTGTGACCAAGAAGAAACGGTAGAAAATGTTATTTTGCACTGCCAGAAATATAAAAAGCAGAGAGAAAAGCTAAAGGAGGAGCTGAGGAAATGTGAGGTTGGAATAATAAGTCTTAAAAATGTATTGAATAATGACGGAGGGTAATATAAAGCATTGTTTAAATAAAAAAGACATTGGGCTAGTTCTGAGAATTTAATGTATTTATTATAAGTAGCTATAATTGTTTTTTTGGTGTTCTGACTCACACTCCAGCACAGTAGGTGGCGGTAATGCACCTGAAAAGCTAGTGGCCACCCGCCATTCAACAAATGAAGAACCGAACTGGAGGAAGAAGAACAACAGTAAAGGTAATGGAAACCATTATCTTCTGTATGTCTGTTCATATAATACATAATAGTACTAAGCAGGTTTCAAGCTTTAATCTGTAAAACTACATGAAGTTCCCCTCTTTATATTTCTTCTAACGTCGTGTTGTATTAACTTACACTTGGCTGTTTTCTGTGCCAACATTACTTCGACGTTTTGTTAAATGGTTTCGTCTAAAACGTTTTAGTCTTTTTCTTTATTTGAATGTTTCGTTTGCTTTGTGACCGTGGACCGAAAACTCGTTATTGTATATGAAATGAAAATGAAATAAGAATTTAATTACAACAATTGTAATAGCCCCTTTCATTTTAACATAATTTAACTGAATAGTTTTTGAGATAATTAAGGGTAAAGTCTGCTCAAATTGCATAGAGACGCTTTGATATTTTAGTCATATTCAATATTTTATTTTGAAAAATCTATGACAGGCTACAAAGATCTTCCAATGGATTCTTGTTCCTCATGTCATTTAATCGAAATTCAGTTACAAAAACATGTACATCTAATTCATTCAAGTGTACAGACATGTTCAAGATAAGGGACATCTACTGTATAGATCAAGTATGAATATTGGGAATAACATAATTGAACAACTACTGTCAATATAAAACAAACAATGAAACCAAGAAAGAAAACATCAGGAGGGGTCTTCTCATTTGGAGGCTACAAATTCAAATGATAAAGTAATGTTTTTGTATTATTTCTCTTTTGTGAGCTTTTACATTTTCAAGAGAGGCTGAATAAATATGTTTTCAAATCTTTACTTTTAAAATGATATAAAAGGAGGGTCGTTTGTTAAGCCATTTTATTTCTTTAAGTAGGCCTAATACTTAAAAAAATAAAATTAGAAATAAATAAGTTAAGATTTGTTTGCTCTGAAATTAGACTGCAGAAAATTAGGAGTATATCTATTTTTGGAATTTTTGGTATTTTTAGCTTTGGATTGCTGTTTCAGTTTGTCTTTGTTGTATCTGTCCCTATCAAATAAAAAATACAGAAATAAGTTAGGCAAGTGAATGCAATACGCTTTGCAGTACACACAAAAAAAAGGGCTGTCAAAGGATTAACACATTTTAACTGTAATTAATCTCTTTATTTTAATAGTTAATCAGGATTAATCGAACTTTAATCACATGTTTGAAATTCTATAATTTTGCATTTAAAAATAGAAATCGTTTTTCAAATAATATTTAAAATGCTTAAATTGTTTTAAGCTGTGAGTTATTTACCTGCTCATTGAATTCAACCCTGCTTTACTTTTAGAAGTATGGACCTTCTGCTAGATCGAAGGTTAACACTTTAACTTAAAAACATTTTTTAAAAAAGGAACTCGTTAAGGATCCAAAACTGAAGGAAAAAAGGTCTAAAGAAACGGTATCAAAGGAAAATGTTTGATGTCATAACGTGGATATTACTTCTGACTCGTGAGAGCTCGCTGCCTGAGAATTTTTATAAGTGAAATGAGACGTTCAAAGACGCAGCAGTGTCCTTCTTTTCCATCACAGAGACTACAGGGAGACACTGCAGAGGCGTATCCACGCTGCGCCTAAAGGGACGAAATAGAATGTGATCAATTTTTTTCTATATATTATTAGTTATACAGAGATGTAAAAAGTTGTGATGTCCCGATGTGAGTCTACTTACATTTACTTACATTTTTTCAGTCTGTGTGTGTTTTCTTTTTTCACAGCTGAAAAAAGAGACGCAGACAAGATCAGCGTCAGAAGTACGGGAAATCCTCGACTCCGTTTGAGACATGGAGTCTGTCACACTTCAGAGAAGCAACCAATCTGAACAGTGTGATGAAACCGACGCTCACCCAGGCGATTACAAGACGCACATTCACACTGAAGAGAAACCATACCAGTGTCAGCATTGTGAGAAGACTTTCAGCGTCTTGTGTTATTACAAGAGGCATCAGCTTATCCACGCCAAAGAGAAGCCGTATCAGTGTGATCAGTGCGGGAGCTCTTTCAGTTTCTTGTGTACTTACACGGAGCATCAGCGCATCCACACCGGAGAGAAGCCTTACCAGTGTGAGCTGTGTGAGAAGGGTTTCAGTACGCTGAGAAATTACAAGAGACACATGGGAATCCACAGCGGAGAAGAGAAGCCCCACTGCTGCGACCAATGTGGGAAGAGTTTCCGTTTCGTCAGCGATTTCAAGAGACACATGAAAAGCCACACCGGAGAGAGGCCGTACCAGTGTGAACTTTGCGGGAAGAGACTCTGTTTCCTCGCTGATTACAAGAGGCACATGCGCATCCACACGGGAGAAAAGCCGTACCAGTGTGACCAGTGCGAGAAGAGCTTTGGTTGCGGAAGTCACTTCAAAAAGCACATGCGTATCCACACCGGAGAGAAGCCGTACCGGTGTGTGTACTGTGAAAAACAATTCGCTAATTCCAGTAACTGTACCAAACACCTGCGCACGCACACGGGCGAGAAACCGTATCAGTGTGAACAATGTGGGAAGAAATACGCTCACATAAGTAGTTACCATGAACACGTGCGCTGCCACACCGGAGAGAAACCGTACTGGTGTTCTGCATGTAAAAAGTTGTTTGCCAGGTCCAGCTCCTTGAGGACACATCGCTGTATTAATGTTGACAGAGAGACGGACTGTGGAAGTGGAAGTGTCCCATCATCCAGCTCAGAGTGATGACGGCAGAGCCCACAAATGGGGATGCTGGAATTATTATGCTGATAAAAATAATTTAAAAAAAGAAGGCATAACATGTTCTCCATCTTATCTTAAAATCATTTTCAGACCTTCATTGATAGGCTGCCAAGAATGGTTCATCTACTGTGAAGAAAGTTGTTTGTTAGGTATTAAATAATTCTGTACAAGCATTGCATAGACTGGCATTCTTACCTTTACCAGATCCAGGATGTTACACCGAACTTCCACCAGATATGTGTGCATTGCGCGTCCGCTCCAGTCCATTACAGCTCCGTGCACCCTCAGCCGTCAACACCCACCAGCTGCGTTCTCAGCTCAGTCTTAGTGCCGAGACCTGCAGTATCCTGCAGTATTCTTACAGATTCACTCGCGGCAGCCCGAGATAATACGATGTATGTGGTATGAAACTCTATATATAAACACATTTTGTTTTTGTCACTGTTTTATTCTGAAAATAAAACAGATGTTTTAATGTTGTTTTGGTGTCTGACTTCCCGTCCTGCTTGTTCTTTTCTGTGCTAAATTGATGCGTCAAGCTCCAGCATCCGGCAAAAATAGTAGCCTGGCGTATCTGCCAAAGCTGAGACGCAGTGCAGCGGAGCCAGTGGAAGCACCCACATTGAATAAAGTGAGAGATATACATTTACACATCAATAGCAGTTATTAAAAACTTGGGGAAAAGATATACAGTATAAGGAAGACAAGATGGTGACTCGACTGGAAAGTAACTGCATGTACGTGCCTCACTGCCTGAAACTCTTGAGAGTGATGATGCTTGTTGTAATCTAAATAACACACTGATGGTGAAAGAGAACTGTGAGTGTAATACAATGAAAGTCAAAAGAAATGCAATTTGACTGGCGAATCAATCTGGTAATATCGGCGCATATCTGGGAGAAAATGAGCCGATATAGATGCTGACTGAATAAGCTAATATCGGCCGATAAATCGGTCGGTCTAGTGTAAAGGGTTTCTCATTAATTGTATGGCTGAACCATAGCTCCTCCTGTTGACTTCTGGGAGTATAAATACTCTAGATATGTAAGCTAGAATTTCCCCACAATGGTCAGGCCAGCTGGCTCGCTGTTTGGTGGAAAAAAAGAAGACAAACTGTTCAGTGATTTGTATAAAAGTGTAAATGTAGCCTTTTGTCAATCTTTTCAAACATCATGAAGTTACTGTGTGTGTATTGTAAGCAGGTCTAACATTTGCTCCTCTGTGTTATTTCTCACAATGCAACATAGTAATGGATCTATCTAGAGTCACAGTGTTTAAAACTGTCGTTTCATCCTTTCTGCAAAAATTAAACGTTCTCAAACCTCAAATGAAATTGTTCTATTACCTTTTTCAAGCTTTTCTGTCTGGATTCTCTACAATGTTATCATCAAAAGGACCTCAAGAACAACTCCAAAAATAAACAATGTTGTCTGATTTTTAAAGTGAGCATCAGTAAGTCACCCAATCTCAAGACCTTATGACAGCACTCGTGTTTTTTTTGGTAGATTATGAGTGGCAGTTTGTCTGACAAATGAAAAGACAGAAAATCACCAGCACAAGTTGTTAAAGAAAACTCTGGATCATTTTTGCATTAAAAAAAAAACGTTTTGGGTTGCTGTTTTAGAGTAGTCGGAAATAGACTCACGCAAAAAAAGTTTGAAAAAAAGAGTTAAGATGACCAAAAATGGTTAATGTTTTAAAATGAACCTTCTTTATTTGATGCATTTAGATGGCAGACATTGTTGTGTTTTATTCATCCGTGGAAACACCAAAGCAGCATGTCAAACTTTCCCAGACGCTACAGAAGAAGGCTTTCACACCCTTCTTCTTCTTCTTCTTCTTCTCTGTCTTACAGTCCTCAGAGAGAGAGTCACGCGTCTCAAATGAGACCTCTTTCTCCTTCTGCAGCACCTCCAGCACATCCTCAATAATGCACACAACGACGTTTGTCTCCCCTCCAACTAGGTATGTGTTCTTTTGCATAGGAGTGGCAGTAACCTCGGAAGAATCCTCCTTATCCAGAAGTTTATTTTCCAACTCCTCAGTGGCAGCGGCTTGTTGAGACGCCTCCGTCTTATCCACTTGTTGATGTTCTGCCGCCTCGGAGGTTCTCAGTCCAGGAGAAGAGTCCTCCAGCTTGTCATCACTGAACAAAGTCAATTGGTGTCTTGATTTACCAAAGGTGCATCCTCTTTCACATCTGTCTGCATTGTGACCATCTCTCTATCCAAAGAAACTTGTGGACAAGCCCCCCTCTCTTCCTCCACCTCCTCAGAGGAGACAGCCTCTGAAGGTTCCTCTGACTTCTCATGAAAACTGTCCTCCTGCTGATCCAAGGTGAAGAGCTGAGGATGAGCCTGGCTGGATGAATGCGTCTGACCGTCTTGTGTCATGTCCTCGATGGCAGAGATGACAACCTGTCTGGCAGAGATGAGGCTTTCCTCATAGTCCATCTGCTTGAAGGTCATGCAGCACTCTTTGAACCTTCTGTTGATTGCTCTTATCATGAACCGGGCAACGGTTGTGCACACCCCAAGCAGGAGTGTTTGATGAACCGGCTCATGCTGAGAGAGATATGGAATCACTGACTTAGTCAGCAGCTGGCCAATCCTATCACCGGCAGCTTTTCCATTGTTCTCTGGCTCCTCCAGGAGGAACTGCAGAGCTGTGTCCACCACTTCGGGCACCAGGGGAGCAGTTATCTGTTCAAGCTCCACAAGAGTTGCTGGTTTGGCGTCCCCTGCTGAGTCTGAATCTCTGGCGATGTTTACACCAAGGAAGATGTGCAGCAGCTTTCTGTGCAGAGATGGAAGGAGTGATCGCACGTCTTCCTCTGCTCCCGGGCGAAAGGACGAGAGGAACATGCTAAGGCCCTCCAGCGTGACCTTCCTGTTAAACAGCTGGGAAAGCTGCTCCTCTTTCTGCTGCTGCTCCTGGAGCTCTTCCTCCATCAGGTTGACACAGAAGTGCCTCGCTGTGGTCCAGGCCTGTCAACATCACTCTTGAGTTAGTTATCAGGAAGATAATGCAGCTGCTTACATGAAGCTGTTGAGTACATTAGACATCTAACTACAGGTGATGTACTTTACTTACCAGTTCAGCCATCAGCAAGTGATCTATCCCTTTGTGTTTAATTATTTCCTGAAACCTGTAAAACAATACAAAGTAGGATTGTGTCATATCTCTACATTATCTACACATGTAACTTTTCCAGTGCACGAGTCACACGATCACTTTTACTTACTCATCAAGGAACTTTCTTCCTGCCAGCAGCCAGGTCTTCATGTGTCTCACAGACAAAGACTCAGGGATTTCATCCTGCTGCTTCATAAGTTTAAACTGCCTCAGCAACATTTTCTGCAACACAGATTGAGCACAGAGCAGTTTGAAGCAGCTCACACAAACACAGGATTATACAATCTAACATCAACACAGACATGCACAGGAACCTACCTCTGCTTGGTAGCGATGTCGCTCTTCTTCAGAGAAGGAGGACGGTCTCATCTTCTGGACTTGTTCGAAGATGGAGTGGACGTCCATTTTTAAGGGACAATTCAAGTTTTGAACGACAGAAGCACAGCAAACAAGTTTGTTGAACGAAGTGAAGGAGCGCCTGCTCAGCAATCAGAGTCCAAAATGAGAGAGAATCTGAACCACCCTGTGAGTTTAAATGTGAGGATGTAGAACTTTGAGACGACCACTGTGGCATCATAATCTGAAGGATCCATCATAGAACATTTCAAAAGAAAACATGGAACTGATGTTTGAACAAGACAAGAATGAGTGCTGCCTTCATTAAGTCCCTTTAAAAAAAATCATCTTTAACAGGAGCTTAAGACATTAAGGGTCTAACTTTTACTGTCCACCACAGACCAATTCTTTTGACTGTTTTTTTCCATTTCAAATTCAATCATTTATTCTATTTTTATACATTTATATAGGCTTTTAACCAAAAACAAATAACACAAACTCAGGTAAATGTCAATATTTAAATATTGATAATAATGATAATAAACAGAGAATAAACAGGGTATGGATATCAGGGATGTGCATCTTCACTGGTCTCAAGTGCGATTACAATTATTACGATTTGATTGGATATTAGGATACATCACAATGGGTTGAATCCTCAATATTCTATATTAGCCTGCTGCACGTGGCTACTTTTTCCTCAATTAAGATAATCAGTCAGATATATATGAAGTCACTATTTGTTATTTACACAAGTGCATTAGTAATGATGCAGAATCGTCCTGGTCAGCATGGCAATGCATCGTAAAAATGTTCAATATCAACAGCCCCAATGGGTTTGTTTTTATTCCATGTCTCGCAATTTCAGATTTATTTTTTGATGGTGATTGAAATAATACTCCTGTCTCTAAATACCAGGATCATCCAAGCAGCATTTTAAGTACTACAGTATAAATTCTCTCTGGACGTGTTTTTTGTTAAAGGCAGAATTCATAAACTCATCCTGTACTGATCATTTTAATCTTAATGGGAAATGAGGACAGAATATAGGACTGGGGGGGGGGGGGTACTTCATGGAAATTAATATTGTTAATCAGAATGCAGATGTATAACTTTTCTGTGCTCCCCTTTTCCAGTTAAACATAGTGGTTCTATGAAGATATAATCTGGATTTAGTGAGAAAAAGTATCATCTGATTATCATGGCAGAGCTTTACTAAGAAACACATCTGGAGCTGCGACATGAGAGTCAAGTTACAGGCGAGTGTTTTTTTTTATTATTATTATTTATTTCTAAAATGATTTTTAAATGTTCCTAGCTGATGATCTTCAGATATTTGTGATAAATATTGACATATAGTCATTCGGGTCAGCAGGGTGTAGTGGTGGGATAATGCAAAAATATGTTGTTGTTGTTTTTGTGTGTAAAACAGCATATCAGTACATATCTGAAGGATGTATTGATGTTCAAGTACTTACCTGAGTCCAGATACTGCAGTGATTATGTGAAGTGAAAAAGACCTGTGTGAAAACTGACCAACCACTAGAGGGCACACTTGGACCCATAATTAAGTGTCAAGCTTTTACAGTCGGTCGTTGGCTCGCCAGATGATTTGCTTCAATTTGACATGTTGTATTTTTGAGCTAATGAAGGCTGTTCATGGCATGTATAAAGAAGTAGAAATATAGAGTGGATATTAAAAAAATGTTAAAAACACCCTACAGGGCCCCTATTATTGGATAGGAGGATCCAAACAGGATATAAACAACACTAGAAGTATTTGAAAGTGGAGTTGACTTTGGTCTTTGTTAATAGAGTTCAGACAATCTCAAACTGAGCCTGAAAATTACGTTTGGGCAACACAATTTATTTTGTCTTGCAGAAATTTAAAAAATGCCACATCCTTAACGTTAGGGTTATATATTGGTTCGTGCTTGACAAGTATGAATGAGAATATGTTCCCACAACAGGATTATGATTGATCCAT